TTCAAGGCTACATTCAATGAAACATCAGTATTACTATTATCACTTGAATATCTGAATTTCAATTTCCTGTTTATACAAAACAAAACAGTTCCTAATTGGTGAGACATTTCATGAGGGAAAATTTTAATTTCATTGAGTAGGCGATGGAAGATTGATGGGATTTTAGCGACAGAATTTTTTTGTTGCGTTAAAAGTAGCCAATGTCTGGAGTATGCCCTCCCAACAGAAAGCATTGAGAAGTAAATATTGTTCAGATTTAACCAATTAAATTGGGAAATGAAAGGAGTCATTTAATGTGTGGTATTTGTTGTCTCTAGCCGAAATCAAATTCATAGCATTATTCATCAAGAGGTGAAAAGAAGGCGTTAAATGGACGTTTGAGTCACACAGTGGCACGCATGCACACACTCAGGCACACACTTGACACGCCTTACTATAACAATGTCGTGTGGCATCGCTCAGCCAATACTGTGAGCCCTTGTACTTCAACGTTTACCTAACAGTGGCAAGACATTTGCATTGCGATTGGCTCCACGACCGGTATATTCACTGAAGCCTGGAGGTGTTTTTGTAAGGGTTGCCAAGGCGATTCACAATAGAGGCGTCAGATCAGAGTAAATCATGAGCTTTGACGAAGAGCAACTTGACGATCTTTATACGGCCTTTCCTGACCTCCAAACCAATGGTGCCATCTCATCGGATGATATTAGACCTGCGTTGGAAAAACTTGGTTGCCCTATCGCTGGTCACGAGCTCAGGGAAATTCAAGGTGGACGGGCACGAGGAGGTGCTCTTTGCGATATTAATGAGCTGTATGAAATATACACAAAAGCTAAATTTTTAAAAATTGACTCAAAAAAAATCCTCAAGGACGCTATTCTCAAGGGGATACAAGAGGCAAAGGTAATGTGTCTATTTTCATACCACAGTGGTTCAAATTTTAATTTCCCATATAAGTACCTAGTTGACTATCTCGTAACTACCTTGCCCTCTTCTACCTTGGATAGAAGCTTTCATGATACAAAACAGGAATGTCCAAACGGAGGCAGCCCTTAAAAATGGCTATAAAATGCTTAGCAAGTCCAAGCTGATTATTTTTTTATTTCGGTTTATGTTTATTGATAGACATCTGATTAACCGCAATTCGAAAGTGGAGAACTGTGGTGTTAGCCTCCTCAAATGGCTGCGCAATGAATGAACCCTAAATGCACCAAGGCTTTGCTCATCACCTTGAGTTACATTCAGTGAATGCGCCACAAATAAATAAGCTTGTTGTAGCCAGGTTTAACGAGGTGCGAGCTTCCTTTCCTCGAATGCAGGCGAGGACCAAGTGATGATTGCTAAAACAGGGGTTTGCTGCTTGCCAGCGGTTGAGGCTGGATCCCACAAATTGAGTCGGGTGTTTTGAAATGCTTTGACCTAATGAGAAGGTATGGTCGTTCCCGTAGAGATACAGTAGATGCTTTGGCAATTTAATTGGCGATCAAATGACAGTCTCACGCCCGAGATGGTGCAAAACCTAGTCATTAATTTTGCGTTAAGGTGCCTTTTTATGTTTTCCTTTGCACCATGATAAACAGCCCGTTTGCTTACACTGTTCTTACGCCATACAATCCGCTTCTATAAAAAAGTGTAATGAGATCCACGTGATATTTACCTACAGTGTGTGATGAAAGAACCCACACGACCAAGACCCGTCACCTCATTTCTGCGTTGCTAAATTGGAAAATTGAAGTTTCATTATGAGTAAGTGGTAGAACCACATGTGTGAAGATTTGTGACATCAGCACTTACTTTGTCACCTTCACCAATGATGCAAGTACAAGCTCATTGTCTTGTCAGGTTCAGCAAAAACTTTTCTCACGTACGTGTACAGGTGGGAGCCCAAATGAAAAGTGCAAAATGGAGGAAAATTTTGAGTAAACAAACCAAATTAAACGACAACCCAAACTACTTTTAAAACAGTCTGGTACAAATATGCGCTTTGCTAAGTAGTCTTCCAAAAATTGTGCTCAAACGTGTTAGAGCGAATTAAAGAACAAAAAATAGAATTAAATCTCCCAATTATAATAGTAGTTTGGAGTGTACGCACGTAAGTGTACCGACGGATTGTGATGTTGCTAGACTGAACTAACGAATCGTGGAATATGGAGGCTTCTCTTTGCATCCTAGACATACGATACGGAAGTGGGTGGAAAGCATACCGTGACGAAGTCAGAGGAGAAGGCCTTTACAAATTGGATAAACAAGCATCTCCAGGGTGATCCCGACTGCGAGGCTCTGGGTTTGATTCCCATCAACTCAGATGTAGATGGACAACTATATGAACGCTGCAAGAATGGCATCATCCTCGCAAAAATGATCAATGTCGCGGTGCCCAACACCATTGATGACAGGACCCTCGAGAAAGGCGAATCCCTCAAGGCCATCTTCAAGGTCAGATAGACCCAAATTCTTCAATTTATTCTGATTGTACATTGGGTTTACAGTCTTCCGCCTTGGTTTTAAACAAGCTATAAATGGTGGGAGCATTGACTATACAAATGATAAGTGTCCCTATATTACAGATCCTTTCAATGAAGACAGTGTGATGGAATACGCAGTTGTAAACTTTCATCCCAAAGATTTGCTTATTGGGCCTTAGTAGCATTTCCATAAAATCACAATTTGGTGAGGCATTTCGTGGCAGCTCAGGGTATGACAATTAACTCAAAAAATGCGCAAATGATAATGGCTACTTATTCATGCAGGATGCCAATAAATCAAATGTCCTCTACCTGTAGAGAAATGAAAATTTGACATTGGTGGTGAATTCCGCAGCAGCTATCGGTTGCTGTATGGTCAACATCGGTCCCGAGGATATTTCAGGCGCTCGAAGGCATCTAGTATGCGGACTCATCTGGCAACTAATTCGTAAGGCCATCGTGGATACCATCACCTTGGCACAGCATAGTGAATTGGCCGCCCTCCTCTCACCAGGAGAAACCTTAGAACAGTTGGCAGCTCTCAAGCCCGAGGAGTTGCTTATGCGATGGGTGAACTTCCATCTTGCCAATGCTAACAGTGTTCGACGTCTCTCAAATTTCACCACTGATCTCTGCGACTCTGAGATATACGCCATTCTGATGGAGCAGATCACTCCAATGGATCTGCGTTCGCGGCTAATTAGCTCGAAGGTCATTCTAGATGAGCCCTCCCTCGAGAAGCGTGCTTACATGGTAATGGAGAATGCGAAATTGTTGGACGCAGGCACACTGCTCATTCCAGAGGACATTTATACAGCCAAACCCGGGAGTCATAGCGATAAGCTGAATCTCGGCTTCATTGCAACCCTTTTTAACATGTATCCGGGTATGGAGACTCCAGGAGACCTCAATATCCAGCCTGAGACATTAGAAGAAAAGACCTACCGCAACTGGATGAACTCGATGGGTGTGTCGCCAATAGTTAGCAACCTATACAACAACCTTAACGACGGACTTGTGCTGCTTCAGTTGGTCGATATCATAAGGCCGGGGACAGTGGATTGGAAAAAAGTGACAACAAATTTTGACCCAAAAAGGGAGCTCTTCGAAAAACAAACAAATTGCGTTCTTGTGATTCAATACGCCAAGGTGATTGGCATTAAAGTGGTCAACATCAGTGGTGAGGACATTCGCGAAGGAGCGACCAAACAAATCCTCGGCCTCTGCTTCCAATTTATGCGGGCTTACACTCATAAGCTGCTTAAACAGGTGAGTTAACCTTTATCCCTCCACTACATTGTAGGATTTGATCGTGGAAAGATTAAATCTTAGGCCTCTTATGGTGTTTGCTTACTGAAATCCTCTTCAGTATGCGCTTAACGGCATTGATATCAATTTCGGCCAAATGAGTAATGCGTTTAGTTACATCCTTGGAAATAAGTGAACTCTAAGATCGGTCCTGGAGGTTGATTCGAAAGTTACTGTTTTGTCAAAGTATTTGAGCAACAATTTAATGATTCATGATGAAAAGCCTAGAGTAATGACGGATCACACATCCTCCAAGTTTCACAAACACCAGTACACAGTGTGCATGTGGGATGAGATATCTAACTAATCATCCTTTAATTAGCACATAAAAACACCGAAAATGGAGTATTCACTTAGCATGAATATTTCACTCATTTTGTAACATCCTAACGAATAAAGGATTCTAATTCACTCGAAAAGTTTTCGGTTGTGCATTTACAGTCGCGTTAGACTTGATGACCATTGATTAATTTTGATAAAAACAAATTAAAAAACTAACTTTCTTGAAATGCTATGCACAATTGCACTTTGTCCTCCCTGTATCAGCCTATTTGTGATTTTTCCGTGCTGTGCCTATTGAAAGAGTCGGTGCGAAGGTACGACCAAAGTAGTGGTTTCTCCAATAGTAGGAAAATCGAAGCAACTGAAAAGGCGTTAAGTTATGTCTCAAGATTCGGACAGAGCTGGTAAATTTCACGTTTGTTTGCTCGACGTCCCGCATTATGCTTGTGACCCCACTTCATTTCACTGATTCAAGCAAAACACTTTACCATATTTGTCAAATCGATGTTTACACCAATTTAAAAGAATGTTTCAATATTGATGAAGCTCAAGAACAAAGCATCGAGTCGTAATCTCACTATTGTGGCTAAAGGTTAATGTTTTGCAATTTAAAAGGCGAGTGGAGAAGGCAGCGATGCGCCAATAGAAGACGCGGAGATTCTAACCTGGGTCAACGATCGACTTAAGGAAGTAGGTGAGCCGTCTATAAATGGTTTCCGTGATCACGCGCTATCCAACTCACGACCAATTGTGGCGGTGCTGGAGAGTATCTCACAAAAGGGAGCGTCGCGCAATATGCTTACTGACGACAATTTCGCCAATGCAGTCTACGCCCTTTCCTCCTGTCGCAAGGCTGGAGCTCGTGTCTACGCCCTACCGGAACACATCTGCACCTGCAATCCCAAGATGATTATCACAATTTTCGCTTGTCTCATCGTCCTATCGTACAGCCTCAAAGTAGTTCCCAACCAGTGAGGAGACGCCTGCAATGCATATTCCGTGCTTGCACACTTGGCTCCGTATCTTGTCTTCTGACCTCTTTTCTAACATTTGCTTTATCAATGGGTGATGCAAATACCAGTAAAACATATTCTGAAGCAAAACTGGTGCACCATGCCGCTTCTACATGCATTTATATGTAAGGCATCTAGAATCTGTTTGGATGCACAAGAATCCGAAAGTTGTAATGCCTTTTTTGATACGTGTAGAAGTTAACAGAGGGTAAGGAGATGGAAAAGAGGACTGCAATGAAGCACTCGATCACCAAAAAGTGAGGATATACTCACTTCCAGTTATAAAGCATGCATTACAACATGCAAGTAATGAATTCAGCTTTCCTTACCATTTCCTTTTATGCCTCATATTAAAACTCAGAAGTGGGAGTGGGGACGAGAGTTACAGTCGGAGAATTTTCAGCGCATTTGCCTGCTTCAAAGAAAAGCAAGTCTGAATTATTTCAAAACCAGTCCAAGAGGTGTTGCTGTGTTAAAATTAGTTAGCTTCATAGCATAATTTGATAGTGTTGGAATCCATCCAATTCGTTAAAAATAAATGAAACACTGACCCGTGAACTTTGGAACAGCGCGAGAAGGGAGAACTTGTGTTTCACACTTGAGACTTCATAACTTTTGTGCCAATGCCTTGAGCCACTAATATGGGCTTTACGGTCCTTTCACATGGTACGTGGCGCCAATTTTTTTATCTCAAGACAGAACAGGACACAACCAAAATGATGCCAAGGGCGACAAGCAAGCAGCAATCGTTTTCTCTAAAGAGAATTTGAGTTTTATTTAAGGTCATAGAAGGACCACGGGATCATGAAATGTGCCTTGCTTCAAAGAAGACCATGCAACTTAATTAGCATTCGCAAATAATTTCTCCCTGACAAGGTTTATTCATTATGTTATAAAACAGTATCATGGGGATTTTGTGGGTTTATTAAAAAATTTTGAATGCTTATGTTGAAAAGTGCTCAAGTGGTGGTGTGGCTCTAAACTCGACCAAGCTAATCAACGGCAGAGGTCCTGGTGGTCGACAAGGCTTAAGTCTTTCTTCCCACAGGCGGAGTGGCGGCTAACAGGAATCGAGCAAAAACAAAGTCACTTCACACCACACACACTCTTTGCATTCATGAGTCATCGTTCATGTGCAGATCTTCAAATGATGTCAGCATAACGTTAGAAATTTGCATACGCGGAAACGAACGGTTGCGGTTGAGTCTTTAAGGCAGTCTACAGGAAACGAAGATTCGCGACCCCATGAGCGCAGAAACCAGGAGGAAATTGTCGGAATTACACCAATTTGAGTGAAGGAAAGTAGTCGAAGAATATCCTTATTCGTACTATGTTGCCTATAAGATTCACTGATAGCAGTAGAGAAGGCATGTGCCAGTTCGTGCTTGAGGGCCAACTTCTAACCAACTATTAGCAATAAGTAAAAAAATTTCAGAACAAGCTTCAAATACTAGCAGTACTGCAGTTTCCCCATCTTCGAACTGGTTTGTGCATTGAATACTTTTCGATTAAATCATAAATTGCGGTTCTAAATCTCCCATAACAGGAGTGCGCTCTCCGTTGCATTAGAACGATGGACGCCAGTCATTTTTTGCTCGCCAAATTAATAGCTTTCTAGTTGGGCACTTCTATTTCTGTTGCCATATAAAGTTAATACAAAAATTGGTATAAAGTAAGTAAAACCAAGTTTTGTTGAGTTGCCGGAACTAATAAGACAGCCAAACATGACAAAATGATGGAAATTTGGCTTCAGATGTGTAGAAAGACCACTCTATTTATGGTTCCGCAAATTGAAAGCCTCGGTTTATGCAAACCGTTCGAGGCGACATTCGAATGCAAAGAATGAATCACCAACACGTTTACAATGAATATCTGTCTATTCAGCCAGCCGCATTTCTATCTACTTATTTCACTTAAATATCAATCCACCTAATGAAACCCTTTTGCAGTTTCTAATACAAACCAGTAAAGTGGTGATGTTTTGAAACATACCAATAAATGCTTATTCGTATTCACTTTCGGTCGAGAGGACAAGAAGGAGCATCACTTTCCAAATAGCTGAGTATAAACTTCAGCTATGACTACTCAAAAGCTTTGAGCAGCGCATGTATGCATCCCTCATGGCGATAACTTATTAAGTTCATAGAATCGCATCCACGGCGGAAATGTGTAATAACAACCCAAGTTACTAGCGTCCACACGGATGGGAAGTCTCATTAATGTGGAAAGGAAAAATAGGTCAACATATCTGTTTGGCGAATCCCGAAAGTCGCTGTGAAAACTTCATGAAGGCGGACAAACATGTTTCGTACTGCTGTACCATGGCAAGTTGCCTGCATTGACTGTTTGGTAAAAAGCTGTTACTCTTCATACTAATTACTTACTTCGCATTTAAGATAACATTTTCTGGACTTAAAAGCAACATTCAACACACATTTGTGAAGATCCCTTTAAGCATTGAGAAAAATCACACGTTCTGTGCCAACGGCACGCACATTCATAATAGTAGAATAAGTAGTATAAAGCATTGAGCAAAGCATGGAATACTGAAAAAACGAGACCAGAGCCAAAAATGCTGTTGTAGAAGATAAGCGAGCACCACGTGTAACGGTAGACGCACATTAATCTGATACGTTTTGGCATATAAAAGAATAAGACAGTGTCTATCATTGTTTTTTTTTTAAACAGTTAGAATGTTTCATGTTTTACAATCGAAGCACTTTTCAGATCGAAG